AGTATGATTGAGATAATGAGATATGAACTTGTAAGCATGTAAGTCAAGTTACGAAACCACTTGTCCTAACATCTCGGTCTAGGGTCATTTACGTTTAACCCTCTAAGGAAAGGCATGAATGGGGCTGCGTAAGTTGGCACGTCTGGTTTGGTTGATGAGCTTAATCTAACATGTTGGACGAGTGTGAGTGAAGTTAGAACCATCCACTAGCAGACAAATTGAGTCGCCTTCTTTTTGACGGCATTTTCATACGAAATGAAGGTCCTCCTAAGAATGAAATTCGTACGTACTTCTAAGGTATGCGGAAAAACTGGGTTTTGAGGAATTCTTTAATAAAATATTGTGTCATGACTCTTCATTTCGAAGGGAAAGTTAGTTGGAGGGAATTTGTGATGTTGTCTCATCGGAAACCGAAGGAGGATTGCCGCGTAGGAAATTGTTGTTGAATTGTGCGAAGAAGTCCTCGGCTTACCGTCCTGCGACCCCGATGAAACTGTGCTAAGCCTTCGCCTGTACTATGAGAGACATTATCAGAGCAAGATTGCATACTTTATGAAATAGAGCAAAAATATACTAAGCCAAGAGAAAAGGTGGCCGGCTGCAATCCTAGTCGTTCTTTTGGTTAGCTACTTCAACCTTACTCTGCATACTTGCAAATAAGCGAAGTTAACTTTCCGAACCGGAACTGCGTTCGGTGGCAGTTGTTTCATTGCACAAAAAACTAGCGTATTATCTAATATTGAATCATGTTCGGGCTTGTGCTATTGTTTATTGTGTGTATATAATGCTTATGTCATGTGAAGTATGATAGTCCTAGCTAGACTCGAGGTTAATCCAGCCTCCTTTTGCTCACTGGCTCTTCCTGCACCCCCTCTTTCCTGTTCCTTAAGTTTATCCAACAGCCACAAAAAGTTCCTACTTAGTTTTTTACACTCGTTACTTCAATTCAGGAAGTTGGTTGTTTTGTTAATTTCTATAGGCTTACGTTTTAACGTGAAGTTTGCGTAATTCGCAAAATGTGTTTTGGACCAGTCTGTATTGACCATGTGTTCAGCTAGCTCAGATTTTTGGACCCACGTATTGAATGGGTCAGCAGGTATCCCTCACAAAGACCTTACCACATGAGCACCAAGCAGAATTATTAAAATATTTATTATGAGATTTTAAATAGTTTATTCACGTTTTAACAATTTCAGTTACATTCAAACTAAAATGCATCTGACACCTATTTTGGTTAATCAACTTTTGCTCATGCACTCCTCTACTTAGTTGTTAATGAGATTACAATTAATAATTACTGAACATTCATATGAGACTTAAAATAAATATTTCAAATTTACCAAATTGTTATTTGAGCTGTATACACCCTATTTCGTTTAAGGTGAGGAAGGACTGGTTGTCGAATTTTCCCCCAATGATATGAGTAGAGCTGACGTTTCTATTGAATTTCACATAGCCTTGCTTTCCCAAAATTTGTTCTCATCCAGAGTGGACTGCTGTTTCGATGTCTCATAGATTTTATCAGCACCGTGACAGTGCAGCATATGAGCTTGACACGTTGACCACTCTACAAAATCGCCACGAGTGCCCTTGGGTCTCATGGCAGATGTGAATTTTAAGCAAGGGCAGGCCTTTTCTCATATCACATTTTTTGATGATATATTCGATAAAGCAAAGATGTATTCACCCTATTTCGTTTAAGGTGATAAAGAACTGGTAGTAGAATTTTCCCACAATTATATGAGGGAACTGATTTTTCCATTGAATTTCACAGAGCTTTGCTTTCCTAAAAGTTGCTCTCATCCAGGGTGGACTGCAATTTTGACCTCACATAGGCCTTATCAACACCCCCAGCCGAAGTCGAACCGTGACAGTGCAGCATATGAGCTCCACTTATATCGTTGTGGGAAAATTCTACTACATGTCCTTCATTAACTTAAACGAAATAGGGTGAATACATCTCATATTACTTATTTACTGGTAGTCTCGAAATTCTACTCATATATGAGTTTTGACAAAAATCGTATAAAAGCAATATAGACTCAATTATATGCTGATAAATGTAATCAAGGTTTTAAAGAAAATACACTTGGAAATGATGCCAGTGGGTGAACATCACTGAACTTATGATCTTGAAATTTATTTATCTCATATTATTGCCGAGGAACTCATATCTCTGATGGTTCGCTGCACTCTTCCTTTTGATTGACAACAATTAACTCGCAAGTTCTTTATTCTCTTTAATTTCCACTATTCCTTTTTTCATACTCATTAATATCTTATAACATACTAACGGAGACAAATTATACTTGAATCCAAAACTCATTTATCGCATTTTGAAGCTAAGCCATTTTGATGCCAAAAGTAAAGTACAAAATATTGAGGACTGTAAACATTCTATTTCTACCGTTTTATTTATTACTGCTGCCTTCTGAGCCAGTGTTTTAATATTAGTCTCAATGAACATTGTGTTTACTCTTATCTTTTCTTTCACAGATGGATGCCCAGACACTTTGGTGCCGGAAAGTGATAAACTTATTTCACGGGACCATAACAAAGAAGATTTGGCTTTACATACATCTGAAACTTTGAATAATGTAACTTCGTGTTATTCTGGAGAAATAGGCGTCCCTTCTTGCGATTTAACTACGCATATCATTGAAGGTGGTAGTGGAGACGGCTCTGGCTACGAATTCCACTCTCAACATGAGGTATCTAGAGGGGTTTTTGCGACCTATCCCAGACATCACGATGACCACTCTTATCCTAGCACTCATGCTTATCAACGACCGCATAAAATATACGCGTCTCAATTAACCGATAGGTCTAGCTTTACTTTGCCAGGTCGTGCGCTCCATCCAGAGAATACCAAGTTGTCGGCATTAGAGACTACAACGGTGCTTCCAGATTTGACAAGTACTCAACAGGCAGAAGCAGGGGCCAGAAAGTCGTCAACCGGAAAGATCCGTGCTCTGCAAATTCGGCAACGCAATGTTTGGCCCGAGCAGCCTGCTATAGATCAGCATGCTTATTCCAATCGTATTGATCCTTCAGAGCTTCCCCACAACCCGTCAAATTCTGATCTACGAGTGAAGCACAATCACTCGGGTCATTCTGGCTCACATGAATCAAACAATGTGGCAACCAAGAACCGCAAACATAGTATTGGCAGCCTTAGGGGTTTACTAAGGTAAGCATCTATAGTAGTTTATCCATCCTCAATTTTGTCATCGATAATCTTGTCTTTAAACTCCTCTGGGTAGATTGCATTTTATCTTTTATAAATATTTTTTGGGTTTAATACTATTGCATCAAAGCTCTTCAGGCCATTACTCTTCAACAACAAAACAGAGAAATTCTGGCTAGTATCCTTCATAGAAGTGGAGGCTCGTCCTGTTCCTGGTTTATCCTCAATGTGTGTTTCTCCTTCACGTGTCTTTTTATCTTATTCACATTTTTCACTTAGTACATATAAATTTGCCTCTTAGTGCCAATAGGGA